CTTGGGCGAGGCGGGTCGCGAACTACAGTTCATGCACGCCTGAGCCCCTGGGTCGATGTGGAACCAGGCCGTGATCACGGAAATGCATCCCCGGGGATAATGACTTCAGATTTGGAAAAAAAGAATTCATTCCAGATCGGTTCTTATTGGGGCTAGAAGGGAAAAAAAGAAAAGAAAAAAGGGCCTGGACGTTCTGTTGGCTGCAGCTGTATAGGATTCTGCAGCTAACTCTTTCGGGGTAGGAGTTATATGCTCACGAGGATATGGATACTTTCCCTCCCAGCAACATTGGATCAAGAGTAGTGTACTCCGTACGGAGTATAGATTTCATTGGTGAGCCAAGTGGTTTAGAGGACGGACTCATCTACCTAACTGGGAGCCTGGGGCGAGAACGAAGCTCCTCTCCAATTGGTGTCGAGGAAAGACCACCCCTCCGGTGAGAGAAGCATGCAAGGGGGGGCCTGGGTTGCATCCTGCGCATGGGTCGGGAAAAGGTGAGGTTTGGATGCAGACTCCTGAGTATGATCACAATTGACTGGGCCAAGAAAGACGATGGGGGAGATTCGCTCCAATCTGGAGCGGCTCCTCGTCCATGTACCTACTACATTGTACGGAGTACTCTGTATGAAGATGTGTGATGACGGATGAGGGGCAAATGCAATCTCATCACACCCAGGTTTTGTTTCCATGCACTCACTTCCTTAATTCCGATCTGGACCACAGAATGGGGATTCACCGGGTTGAAGGAAGTATCCAATCATGTTACAGACCGTTCCTCTGTGGCTGATTTCGCAGATCACCCTATGAGCTCGAGCACTACGGAGTAGGCCTTACAAATGTGACAAATAATCCCAAAGCTATACACGGGACGCTCGATATAGTTGCGCACCGCCACACTCTTTTTTTGTCCGCGCCACAAGGGAGTTCCGAAAACAGCCGCGGGGATCTATCACATTGACAGATCTTGCAGATGAGCACAGCCCAGCCGCCTGGCTTATGACAACCGAAATACTCCGAGCCCCTAAAATATCCTGGTTGACGAGTCAAGAAACCCATTAAGCCATGTACTGTCTGATCAGGGGTTTTAGGAAGCGGGGATATCACAATCAGAGGGCTGAGAATGATCCGAGCATCCATTGACCGTCAATTTACGAAGGTTTGAAACCCGAGGGATATTTATCACACTGTCGATCACATCCAAGCTCAGGGAGGGTCCTTCGGGGAATTGTGCCTCATTATCTCCTTTTTTTTTTTTTTTTTTTTTTTTGCACACTTGGGACTGTTCGTTGTAAGCTCGACATTTTGTACTGTGCCTTCCGGCATAACGGTTCACATCAGATTCAAACAATAGTCGGATGGGACGAAGGGATCCGTGCGAGAAATAAGTTACAGATCGACCCAGGGGTCGTCATATGGTAGATCCCCCGAATTTTTATTAAGTGCAAAGTACTCCGTAGATCTCTGTGTGCAATATGACCGTAATAGTCTAAATAGTTACTAAGGCACGAGAATGGGTCTTGTTGGACTCCGTACTCCGCGTACTTTGTTTATTACTGTAGCCTTGTAAGGTATACGGAGTAGAAACCATCAAAAATCGGGGATTCTCGGCTGGACTAGAGTGATATCAAAGTGGTCCACGTCCACGCTGTCCGGGTCTGGAATCTCATTATTTTTCCCTGTGATATACTATTTGCGCCATCACCTTTGAACCGCAAAACCATTTTAATCGCCTGGTGGGGCATGATGTGCCAAGACCCAAATGAGCACAATCGTCCGGAAGGAAGGAGTGATAAAGCCATCGGAAGTCTCAGGTGTGATGTGCGCGATACGCGCCCTGATGCACATGAAGCTTGAATTGGAAACCGACATCTTAAAGTTTTTGCATTGTCACTATCACGTACATCGCAGCATTCATTCTAAAGCGCAAGAACAATGGTACACCGCTATACAAAGTTTGAGGGAATCTAAGAGCCACGTTGTGTACTCCGTACGAAGTACGGAACATGAACGACAAAGTACTCCCATATGATCTACCTACTCCGTGGAGCTATCAGTCTCAAACAAGGTCTTTGCTATGAATCTTTTCTCCGGGTCATCTCTCTCCCTGTTGGTAACCACTCCACAACAGTGATCTATATGACTGGCTCATCGAACAACTGGAGCACTGGCGGATTTTTGGGTCAGATCATGTTACCAGATAGAGCAGTCAAACGGGTAGATCACTAAATTCGGGGCACTGAATTGGGAAATTGGGGAAGAGGGGTGCTCTTGTGGCTTATAGCTAGACCAAAGGTTCCGCTAGACCGGTTCATTGTTGCCTTAATTCTCTTATTCCACTATCCATGTGCCGACAAGGTTGGACTTTAGGTTCCTTATGCGATCCTGTCACAGGAAGTACGCGCCTGAGGCGTTCGAGGATCTCTCGACTCCATAGTTTAGGATTTATCCAAAGATCTGGAACGTTTTGTTGTCGATAGTTCTAAAGAGGCCAAGTGAAAGCTTGTGAAATATCCCGTAGTACTCTGTATGAATCTCTGTATGATGTACGGAGTAGTCATCTAACTACCAAATTAAGCGTGTATGAAACAAAGACGTCACAGACAAAAAGATGACCATAGCGTCATGAGCAGCGGTCTCCGGCTGTCCGAGCAGTGAGCATAGGCATATATGTATTTTAAGGGGTGAACAAAGATGGGGCTGCAACCCTCGTGATTTGCCTGCATGGAGCATCTTATTTCAAGACGTTTAGCGCTTGAGCAGGGCCCAACCAGATCCCCGGGAAAGGGAGATGGTGTCAGACACCGGGGATATGGTTGGAGCCTGGAAGAAGCCCGAATAACAGGGGTTGCAAAATATACCCAAAGAGGGGGCGCCACATCCAAAGAAAGAGATAAAGAAAAAAAAGAAAAAAAAGCTCGGCAGATCCTTTGAGTGATCGACGGAGGATCTGTCGACTATTGATGTTTCCAAGGTTTAGTTTGTCTTGGCCGACCTGCCATACGTCTGCGCTAGTATGAATTGGTGTTAGCGGAAAGCGGAAAGGGAACACTGTCAGTTACAGATAGCTGGGACACTTTGCTTCAGGATTCGATAGTCTATCATACAAAGTACCAACGGAGAAGTCATACTAGACATCATCGGGCTCCATCATAGCGATCGTCGAATCAAATAACCGTATTATTGTACCGAGGGACTGCGCCCGATCGTCTGACCCAGAGCACCGGTCTCCAGTCTCCCGGTACGAGGGAACACTTAGAACTTGACCGGGATGGCTATTTAGGAAGGAAATGTGACTACTACCTAAAGCAGATTGATTATGCAAGTCCGATCACCATACTGCCGATGTCTGTACCGAAGAATCAAATATTCTACCACTTTATCACTTTATATTTATGTATAACTTCCAAGATTGAAAGCTACGGGATACAACCTTGGAACATACTCCGTATAGCATATATAATTATATTATATTTGACATGATTTAGGTAATTGCTAGTAGAGATCCACTGAGTCTTTTCCAAATTAAAATTCATCTATAGTGGACATGATTTTCTTTGCAGCGATGGCCACCTCCTGGGATCAGACATGACGCTAATGCAGGAACTGGATTTTTTGCGTTTGCGTTTTTTTGTGTAATTCCCGGAATACCTGGTGTTCCTCAAGCCTTGAAGAGGCATTACAGGTGTATCAGGCACGTAAACCTCAATTACCGCGGGAGGCATCCGAACCAAACTCGGCTCTCCACACTCGAACCCTGGATCACCTTTGTTTACTCCGAAGTTTCCAAACTACTTTGTTTCGACATTAGGGTATATTTAGATATAGTGCTATATGATATGAGAGATTCGAACCATCTTAGATAGGGTTATATGGAATCTCGTATACTGTTCTTTTTTGGTTTTTTTTTTTTTTTTTTCAGTCACACGTCCATGTTGAAATGCGTTCACGAGGAGAGTCTGGATGGGATCGGAATTATGTTCTGGGCCAACTCTATTCAAGAAAATCACCAAAAAAATATTAAAAATCAATGAGAAAGGATAAAGGATACATAACAAATAAGAATAAGAATAAAATCAAGAATATTAAAATGAAATCAAAATGTGACTCTGATGCAAGAGTTAGGCCGCCACCCCCTACCGAGCGGGCGGTAGTGCGACTCCACGGGCTAAAAGAGGATGAAATACGGTGGGTAACTCAGCCTTCACCTGTGGGTATTCTTCGCATCATTGGGTTCCTAGATACAGGTACTCCGTAGATGATCCCAGATCTGAATTGCTTTTCCCATATTTCCAGAATTATTTAGGTATTTTAATTATAATTATTTTATGTGCATTTTATATATATATATTATATATACAAGTACAGGTACTCAGAACCTAAGTACTCAGAGCACATAAGTCTCATGTACCCAGTACCAGGCACAGACCTTTAGTCGTTTCATCTGATTACCACCCGTTACTTGACAATACCCACTGTCCACCCAACCATACCACTGTTCGACAGCTCTGTACCGCGCTTTACGAGCCGTCACCCCCGATCTTCCCCCCCCCCCCCCCCCCCAGCGCCTCCAATCTCCATCTTTCTCTCTCTTCATCCTTTCTCTTTACACACTTTCCTTTACGTTTCTTGGTCTCTTTCTTTGCTTTTTTTGGTTTCTTTTTTCCATACACACTCTTTTGGGTTCCTAATTCCCGAGTCTCTCCTTAACAACATATTATTATCACACGCTACCACTGCTCATTTCTTTTATTTTTTTTCTCACTTGAATCATCAACTGCCGTACTGTCACTCTTTACATCTACAAAGTCCCCGTCTCCGTCGCCATAGGTTGACACTTCCCGAATCTACTTCATGATATAGACCTTATTCCTCGAAACTGCCACATTCTTGTGCAGCATCTCCATCCCCGTCTCTCTCTTATCTATCTACCTCGCACTTCTCCTACGATTTTCTCTCTCCCCTATACCTACCTACCTACCTACTTGCCTCTCCAGATCGTCATGAGTTATATTCACCCCTCGTGGAATCATCCGGGTCACCAGGGTATCCCAATGGACCAATATATGGCATATGACCCATCCATGGTTCCTCCTCCGATGATGCACCCTATCGACGGTTATATGTACCCGCACCCACCAATGGAGATGATCGACTACTACCACCAACCGATTATGGACTACGACGAATACACAGAAAATCTGTCGCGACCACGGTTGACCAAGGAACAAGTCGAAACTCTGGAGGCCCAATTCCAGGCCCATCCGAAACCAAGCAGCAACGTTAAGCGTCAATTGGCGGCTCAGACAAATTTGAGTCTGCCTCGCGTGGCAGTACGTAAAAAGATAGATGAATCTTCTTGTCTACACAGAAAGCTAATCAAGTGCGCAGAATTGGTTCCAAAATCGTCGCGCAAAAGCCAAGCAACAGAAACGCCAGGAGGAATTCGAAAAGATGACGAAGGCCAAGGCCGAGGCTGAGGAGGCTGCTCGCCGGAAAACAGAGACCTTGGATCAAATGTCTGGATCCCGAAAAGGATCGATCGTCAAGGAGGAATCGGATAAATCCGCCACTCCCAAGCAAACACCTACTTCCACATCTAGCGGCCATACCAAGACAGAATCCACATCTAGTCGTTCTAAGCACCACAAAACAAAGAGCGAGTCGGCAAGAGAAGCAACTTTTGCATCTCTGCAGAGGGCGTTGAATGCTGCTTGTGCTGCTCGGGATCGATTCGGTCGCCGGATCAACCCTCGGGGTAAGAACGAGTCTGTTCCCGAAGAGGAAGAAGAAGATGAAGAGGAGGAAGCAGTGTCCCCTAGCTCAATGCCACCACCAAAAACGGCCACTTCAGCTCATGACCATGGGAATCTTGCCAACATAAACTCTTCCTTCTCGGGCTGGTCTGGTCTCAAGGAAGAACCAACTTGGGGATCCGGCGAGCACAATGAGAATGTGGGATACAGCAGTACAGAACATAACTCATATTCTACTTGCCACCAATCAATGGCAGAGATGCCAAACCCTTCTCACACTATGCAACAGAACATGGACGTCTACTCGAACCACCTGCCCACTCATAGGGAAGAGTGGTCTGAGGACAGGGAATCACGACACAATAGCGTCGTCTACAGCAACATGCAATATCCGATGTCTATGCAAGCACCAGATATCTCGGTTACACGTCGTGGGTCGTCTGATGCGCTGACTGCCTCACTGGAAGGCATCGGAATATGTACTCCCGGTCAATCTGGACTATCCCAATCTCTCGATCGAGTGGACCCGAATTGCTGGAAGGAACCAGGCAAGGAGCTTGATCTCGCCGCACGCCGCAAGCGCCCTCGCCCCGCTGCCATCGGCACCTCTGGAGCTCGTCCTTTGGTTAACTCAACCTCGATGTCCTCGCTCTCGCCTACCGGTCGTATTCCTAGCTCTAGTGTCGGCAATTCGATGAGACAATCCAAGTCAGCTCAGTGCCTCAACTCCCGATATGCCGGTGTGAGGAAGGCCTCAGCTGTCCAGCGGTCTCCTCTCAATTTCACTTTTGCGGATTCCGGGTCTATCAAGAAGGCCGAGAAGATGCTACGACCTTCAGTCTCGACCACTAGCCTAGCTCCACCCACTCCCTTGACTCCACAAGATCTGCAGCACTTCATGCCTGTCTCCCCCACGGAAAGCAACTACTGCTTGTCGGCCCACACCACAGCCCACTTCTTCCCTACCTCCCAACCCATGCAGGTCAACATGGCATCACCTCCTACCACGCCAATGGATATTTACTCTCCCTTCCCTTACCACAACGTCGCCCCGCCCATGTCGGCTCCAGCCCATGTCTCTACCTTCCCCGAATATATTACATGTGACTCGATGCCCATGCCAACTCACAGCTGGGCTGACACCGCTTCCATCTCTTCGCCCGAGTACCCGGCTGGTCTCCAGGTGGCTCATTCAACCACTGTCTCACCCATGGGCTATAACGCCACCATCGACCCCACCGGACAGGCGTTTGGCATGGAATCGGTCTCCGGCTCCCCCTCTTTGATCTATTCGATTGAAGATACTGACATGCCAGGCTCTGCCGAGCTTGCAGAGCGGAAGCGCACTGAATTCATGATGCATGAATTCCCAGAGCATGATGCGGGGTTTGGTGGGCATCACTTGCCATCAATGCAGAAGCCGAAAGCATACACATTCACGAACAATACAACGCCAAGTAACTTCCCTTCCTAAGGGAAGGTTCCCTTACTATGGTTGTATGAGAAATGCGCGACAACTTTGGATGTTTTTTTGGTCTGGGATGAGTTCACTAAGCAAATTTTTCACCTTCAACCTTTGTTTTTCCTACACTCTCTCATAGGGGAGATGTCCACCCAACCCTCCGTGCGCAGAGAAGCACTGTCACTTTTTGTCTTCTATATACTATTTTTTCGTGTCTCTTTATTTGGGGTGTATTCACCGGGTTTTTACATATTTGGAGTAGTCCTTGCATGTTGTTTATTGGCCTGGGATTGTTATATTTTTTGGTGTCTCATACGACCTTTTAATTTCCGCCGAGGTTCCCCCACAGGGCAAGTTCGAGACCTTTTTGACCTTCTTTTATTTTTATTTTTTGGTGTGGGATTTGATGGGTGTTTTTTGCATATTGGCTTTGGCAGCATTTGGTTTTTGATCTCACATTTTTCTGCGATATATATACATTTGTTAAGTATACTATCTCATCTATCTCTCAATATCAAAAAAGGGGATGATCTCTTTACAATTTACAATCTCTGTTTTTTTACATTTACCCGAGGCAAACTTCCGACATTTTGATCCGACAGCAATATTAGGGCTCTTCTATTGGTGGATTTCAGCTTTTAATGCCATTTTTAAGGCTAGTAGTCTGTTTTTTGACTCTATTTGGTTTTAAAAGTGCATCTACAATATAAACATTCTGCACGTGCGGCAGACTATAGGATGTCGCGGAAAGCCGAGAAACGCCACACCCACTCTCAATTACTCACCACGTGCGCTTTCAACGCGTCTAAGCTCTATAAAAGCCAATGCCGATCGCATCTTACAAAAAAATAGAAATCAGACTCCAATTGAAACTTCTATCTCCATTATGAAGCTCTCTATCATCGGTTCAGCAGCCCTTGCGGGTCTTGCCGTCGCGCACTCTTCCTCGTCGACTACTATCAAGTACACTGCTGTTCCAGGATACTTCCTGCAGGATGAGGCTGCGACTGATCCCACTACCTTTGACTACGTGAGTGAAGCTCAAAATTAATAGTTCTGCTTCAAGAACTATCTCGTTATCGATTCCATGATCATTAATTCGGTCGACTAACCTGTTCAGACCGCGGAGAACTTCGGCTTGATCAGCCGCTCATACTCTGGAGACAAGGATCACAAGCGACACAAGTCTCTCACTCAATGGGAGCGCTTCTACAACGAGGTCACCAAGTTGAATGACGGTTCCAAAAAAGATGTCGAGTACAAGGTTATGTTCCTTGGTCGTCACGGAGAAGGCTGGCACAATGCCGCCGAGACCTATTACGGAACCCCAGCCTGGAACGTAAGTTTGTGTCCTACTGCCCTAACCTCATATCAGAAACAACCAATCTGACCATCTCCATTCAGTGCTACTGGTCCGAACTCAGCGGAAACAGCACAGCAACCTGGGCCGATGCCGTCCTCACCCCCGGAGGTGTCGACCAAGCCCTCAAGGCAAACCAGTTCTGGAAGAAGGAGATTCGCGAACAGCGAATCCACACTCCTGACCTCTACTACGTCAGCCCTCTGACCCGCGCGCTGCAAACCGCCGACTTGACTTTCACCGACCTCAAGATGCCCAAGGGCAGCGCCAACTTCAAGCCTACCATCAAGGAGAACTTCCGCGAGGGAGTCAGCGTCCACACCTGCGACCACCGCCGCAGCCGCAGCTACATCCACAAACTGTTCCCTCGCTGGAGCATTGAGAAGGGCTTCTCCGAGAATGATGAGCTCTGGAACGGCGTGACTGCTGAATCCAGCGGTGCCCAGGATGTCCGTACCACCGACGCATTGAACGACATCTTCTTCAGTGAGTCCAAGAAGAAGTCGTTTGTCTCGGTTACTGCGCACTCTGGTGAAATTTCCTCCATTCTGCGTGTGCTTGGTCACCGTGCTTTCAAGCTGAACACCGGTGCTGTTATCCCCGTTCTCGTTAAGGCTGAGAAGGTTAAGGGTAAGAAGCCCACTGCCACTGTTACTTGGGATGTCAGCCCCCACTGCACTGAGCCCCCTCTTGCATCAACCACTGCTTGCATCTGTCCTTCCGGTGCGGAGCCTGTTACCACCCCTCTGGCTACTGGATTTTAGAGGATTTATGAGCATTCTTCGGTGACATTTGACACTACCAAGGAAGACAAATACTATTTACAATATAAGAACAACTTAATGCCGTCTCTTTTCTTCTGAGATTTTTCCACAGTTGACAACGTAGATCAGTAATCTGAATCATTTCATTATGTTCAAGACTCTGCTTCAAAGGCTTTCTGAGAACAATTATCTGAAGTCGAAGAACTACGACTCCCTCCCTCATGACCATTCCCTCATGTGGGTCACTTTCCTTATGGCCATTTCCTCATGACCATTATCTGCTCGCTGGATTGTCTCTCGACTCAAGAATACCTAGGACATTCCACAGACCAAAAATTTAGCATGCTTGATGTTGCCTTTTTGATGTCCTTCTTCCGCTCTATTGGTATCGATAAAAAAAAGTCAAAATGATCCTGACATAAAACAAGAACAACAAGAAGAAAACAAAAAGAAACGTCCCCGGGAAGGCTTGAACTTCCAACCTCCCGATTAACAGTCGGACGCGCTAACCAATTGCGCCACGGAGACGTGCTTGTGGCAAAAGATAGTGGGGATAGCTTCATTAGTGGAACCGAGCACAATGAAGTTCCACTTTCAACTTTCCCTAGTCAGCAGTCTGTCAATGTACAAGATCATGCCCGCAGCGGACACACTCAAAGCGACCCGCCAATTACTGATCAGGAAACGAAGGTCAGTCTCGAGACCGACCAAGAATAAGAAGAGTACCAGGCGGATACGACCCATCACCGATGGGCCCAGAACAATTCCGCGGATAACCTCAGCGATCACTCGAGGCTGACGGATCTTCGAGAGGGGCCAGTGGATTATGCGGGTTGTCAGTTTTGAATTTCAGTTTTCTCGGATGGCGACATACCTGAATAATAAACAACACTAGTGGGTTCTTGGGGTCATATTGGCTTGGGCTGCCACTAGGCCTCTGCAAAGCCCACAAAGCCCAGAGCCCAGCCCAACCCAGCCCACTAATGGGTTGGGCTTTGGGCCCATCGTTCGGGCCTATCGGTGGGTTATGGGCTTATACCTTGAGCCCATATGGCCCATTTAGGCCTATACTGGGCCCCCATTATTTATCAAACAATAAAAATATACCAATCCATCGCAACTGTATAATTAATACATTTTTTGCTGGTTTTTTTGGTATAAAGCTATACGTGAATCATCATATTCTTCCTCTTCTTTATATTCTTATTCCTTTACAAATTTACAAGTAAAGTCATAGAAAGAAATGATTCAAATGATTTGATTTGATAGGAAAGATACTAAGCAATAGATACTGGTGGCTTAAAAGTATATTTATATACTATACTCATACATTTCATCTTCCACTCGCGTCCTCTTCCTCCCTGATATACGTAGTTGAGTTTGAGTGCTTGGCAATTGCAAAATCCCACCATCATGATCATCGTGAGAATTATTACATATGTAATTTTGTATAAAACCCGGTATCATAATACTAGAATTAGTGTTATATTCATATAATTCCTACTTCTTACAATGATAATTAAATGTTACTGAGTATACAGGTTGGGACATACGTAAAATACAGTCATTAATCAGCTACTCGATGTACCTAGGTATGCCAAGATGATATTTATGCAGCAAAATGGGCTTTGCAGAGGCCTACTTGCCACCTTCAAGGATTCCACCCTGCAGACTGACTACTTTGGTACTGTTGATCGTAGCCATAGTCGCGTTAGTCGCCATGCTGGATAATCTCCAGCTTGGGCAGAGAACAATAACAGATGGGAATTTTATCAAGTTTTGAGAAGTTAAGAGGTTTGGAGAAGAGATAAATGAAAGAGGTCATAAGTTCTGCCAGTTAGATGATTCATTTGCTGTTTGAAAAGACATAAAATTACTGCGCAAATTGATCAGCGTGGGTGACATTGATGACTCGTACTATAGATCACGCGCAGTTTTACGGAGTATGACTAGACCAAACAATGGAATACACACAATATGAGTACAAATGGAAAATTTCTAGCAGATGAATGGAAGACGAATGGAAAAAATGGAACATTGTGAAAACATACTACCTACACAAGGCATCGACGTATAAAAGTCGCGGAACTTTCCCGAGTTTGTTCCGGATGCTTCTTTTCTTTCTGTGATTCTTTTTTTCTCGCAATAGTCAATTATTCAGGGTTTTACATCGTCAAGGTAGGTAACGCTCAGTTTACTTTGCATTATGCTACCTACGGGTTCTATATTATTGACCTATGACTCTACTTCACAGGTACATGTTCCTTTCTATTCGCCAATGGTTGCTTTGCCCTTTTTCATTCGCAAAAAGCATGGAATTTACCATCAATCATTCGTCATGAAGCAGATGCAATCTGCAGCAATTGCCCAGGCTCCGATTGCCATGGCATTCAGTGTCAACGGGGCATTGAATGCATTATTAGAAGGGTGCAATCCGCACTGATTGCCTTAGGCTCCGACTGCAATGGCAACTTGTTGCTATAAAAAGGGTTTCGTTCCTCAAACTAACTCGCTCCTGCTTTGTTTACCCCTTCGGAAATCATCTCGTGGAAGCTCGTGATATCTCTCCCTGGCACGTGCTTGTCGCTCGTGGGTCTTTCGGAATAATAATTGCAGCCATGGATTCTTCTCCGATACAGAGCTCACCCTCAGCACAGCTGGCTGCGATGATACTGAACAGTCCATCCTCTGCCACAGTGGATACAACAGACTTGAACAGTTCGCCCTCAGCACTGCTGGTTGCAATGGCTCTGAACAGCTCGCCCACTCAGAATGGCTCACCTGATGTTCTTGCTGAGCTTTCTCCTTCTCAGTCTTCCTTATCGGTCGACACTTCCCCTCGGACTCCTCGCTTAGTTGAAAGTTATTCCCCCACTGCAAGCCCTCCCAACACGCCTTCCCCACTCGAAAGGCACCGGTCTAGCAACTTGAATCGTGTTCCTTTGCAGCTTTGTGGTGATGGGGGCACACTGTCTCACCATCCCTCTGAGGAGATACAGCACTTGCCACGAGAGCCATCGCTCCCGTATGAAGCCTGGGAAGCGGTAAGCACTCCACTGCATCAAATAAATGGATAGTGAGACCCATCAAGCCAGCTAACTTGATCTCAGATCTTTTACGCCACACTTTCCAGTACCTCGATGGAAGAATATGACTTCTTTTATGGTGATGTTTTCGAAAATCCGGAGACCAAAAAGACTCTCTCCACTTTGAGACTGGTGAACCGAACCTGGAACCGGGTTGCGAGCCCTCTCATGTTTCGTTGCCTCCAGGCGGTCCTTGGATACTCTGTTGGTCGACCTCTGGAAATCATCCTTAGAATTTCGGAAAGTCATCATGCCATGTCCGTGCGTGACGTGCGTTTTGGCTTCGTGGGCGCATGGCTGCCCGGACTGGGTTATGATCGGTACATCAACGATCTGGCAGCAGGAGCTCTTCCAGTTCTAATCAGTCGTTTCCAGAACATTCAAACATTGCGAATCCAAACACCTCCCGTGGTAGATACCTTCAGTGAAGACGGACAAATCAAGCCGCAGATGCTTGCCAAGTTCACGAACGCGCTTGTGCATTCTTTACGCTTTATGCCCGTCTCAAGACTGAGATGTCTCCATATTTCGATGCCAACCACCGCGGAATTTGCTCGTTTCTTTGAGTTGAACAGCTACGCCAGGGACTTCGTCGATGTGTTTGCTCAAATCCAGGAGCTACACATCACCATTAATGACAGCACTGGCCCCGATGGCAGACGAGACCCGAAATGGCCCCGCTCAATCGTCAAGACCAAGTACCCAGTTGATCGGTTTTCTCCGTATCTTATCCAACTCATCGCCTACGCAAAAAACCTCCAGGTACTCAACCTGGAAGCTCGTACCTGGTTCGATGTGTCTGATCTGGAAGCTGAAGGCCTCGCCAAACTGAAGAGCTTGCGACTCGAAGGTGTGAGAATCAAGGACACAACTCTGAAGAATATTTTCCTGAAGGCTCGAGAGACACTGCTTCGGATTGAATTGGTCCACGTTCGGCTCATGACTGGTACCTGGGAAGATGCTTTCCGTTTTCCTCCCTGGAACATGATCTGGCTTCGTGTTGATGGCTGTGGCTACTCGACGACGGGCTCCAGTGCCCATCACATTGGTTATTCGTTCATGAATTACCCAACAGCACTCTGGACTCTGCATGGTCGGGACTGGTTGGCTCTCACGCACTGGAGAGCGGTGGTGAATGCAAACCGTCGTCGCAATGGACTGCCTAACTGTCCGCATTGTTTTTTCCCGGGTGTTAACCCAAATACCAATCCCCCCTAATCAGAGGGATAGGGATACATTGTAAGCAAGATTGACAGAACAAAGAGGTTACGGGGGGTGCTATCATGATTTGTGACTGCTGTTCTCGATTTCTGGGCTTACTATCGGGGATGAATTTTCTTGGGTTTTCCCTTAAGTTCTACCCGGAACTTTCTATCTGACAACTAACTAGTACTCTCCACTTTCCGAGTTACCTGGTCGTCTTGATCTCCAGGGACTCATGTATGTAAGGATTCTTTTTTTCTCTACGTCCTGGTCGTCTTGATCTCCAGGCGTAGCATATGTAGTAGTTTCTTTTTTTTTTTTTTTTTTCCCTCCCTTTTATTCTTTCCCCTCAGATGATTAATTTCCTAGGCTAGTTGATGGATTTGGGGTATCATAGTGTCATGGTTCAAGCGTAGAGAGAGCTATGTAAAGTTGCGAGTAACAGAAGCTAACTAGTTAATCACTCCAAAGCTGGAGTGTTTATTTATCAAATAATGAACTAATTGGTTAGTTATTTCCAAAATTGCACCCATGCGCATGTAGTGGGTTATGTCCTACGGACTTGAAATCAAGACAGAGTCCAATGTCCTCAGGTGTGTCACCGCCATTTTGCCCCCAAAAACATTGTCTTGCTTCATATTTCATGAATGTTCATCTCCCTACATCAAATATGTCTCCGTGGCGCAATTGGTTAGCGCGTCCGACTGTTAATCGGGAGGTTGGAAGTTCAAGCCTTCCCGGGGACGTTTGTTTTTGTTTTTTGACAAATCCATAATTTATCTGTTTCCTTCAATGGCAAGGACTATCTTGCTTTTGTTTTTTTTTTCTTTTTGTCTACATGGTTATGTAGAGGTAGGATGAGGTTGATTTAAACTTCATTGAACTTTATTTGTTGTAATACATCCTATGTGTGTGTATCCATGGATATACAGACCCTTTCTTTATCAGATACTGCAAGGTTTAATTGTATTGGAGATTAAAATGATCTGTTTATTTCTTGTTTATGCGGTAAGAAATACTCTTTGATGGTGGCAGGGTATGGCTACGAATATGGAAGAAACAAAGACAGACTGATTGGCTACCTAATCCATGGCTATTGTTGTATTTTACTGCTAGGTAATCTCACTTTATATACTGAATAGACCAGTTCTTTGTTACTCTATTCGTTTAGTCGTACAAACAACTAAGTCTTGGTAGACTCTGCTTATTCCGAGGCATCGGTAACTACTTATCAGGGCTTGGTGGGTTGATGTGTGAATACAAGGGTGAGCGCGCAACTTGGATGATCCATGGTCCCTGCCCATTGCACTCTTTACTTCGACTTATCCCAGGTTCGCGTTGCAGTAGACTTGATAGGGACACTATATGTTGTATAATGCCGGTTCGTCAATTGTTCGGATTTGAATAGGTTTGTTGGGTTGTCTGGTTTACGTCTTGAGGGTGAAAAACAAGCCAATCCACCAGCAGTCACCACAAGCACCATTATGCCCTCGCCCTCGTGGAGGTTTATGGAGCGCACCACGGATATTATTGTTTTGTTGGCCGCTGAAGCCTCTGCTATGGGAGCCACTGCCCCGATAGAAGACTAATGTCGGCCGGATGACCGCACGGCCATGCTCTTCCTATTATCTATACCAAGGTTCCCCAGGCTTTGACTTCTTCTCGCTGTTCAGCCACAGTGGGGCCTGATCTTGGTGTTTGGGCTTATGGTATATATAATGTCCTCTGTGGCATGAAAGCAGATTGAGTGGCACTTGGGCAGATGCGATTATATTCGATGTTCGCCGGAGAATGCTACTCTTGCTCTGTTGGAGGGAAGGCTCTAGGATTCCCTTTTGACTGATCAGCTTATATTGTTTCTTATATATCTTATTTTAACTTAGTGTCGATGGACTTACTAGTATATAGTATAAATGTGAATCTGAGATGCATGGGTTATACTTAGTCGCCATTTGGTTGGTTGTGGGGTTTGGACCTATCGGTGGCCCTTTGCTGTCGTGGTGTGGACATATGTTTTTTTCATACTGTTGAAGTTGTATGGGTTGTGTTCATGAGGCATCTGGTAGCGATAAGGAGCAAGCTCAAGACATGACTGTCGAACGAGATCGCACCGTGATATATATATATATTCATTCACATAAATGACAACGCAAAGCAACCACCCCCTTTATTCTGCATCTTCGCATGGAATCGAGGAGGTTTATATATTTGATTTAGACTTTAAAGTATTATATAATTGTTAAAGAAAGGAACTCAAATTGTGGGCACTATAATATGCCGCGATACCAGGGCCGTTTGCTAGCTATAGAATGGGGGAAATTTTTCTTTGCTTATAATTTTAAAGACTCCCTGGTCTTTCATCAAACACGTCTCCGTGGCGCAATTGGTTAGCGCGTCCGACTGTTAATCGGGAGGTTGGAAGTTCAAGCCTTCCCGGGGACGTTTCTTTTTGTTTTTTTGGTCTTCTTCTCCACCATGCTAATACAATGGATAGAGGATATCTATCTAAGAGGGGAAACAACTCCTGGTTTTACACCTGACACATACTAACTAAATGGAGTAGTTGATCGGCATAAAAAATATTGAAACAACCATGTCGATGGCCGTACAGCACAGTTTTTTTTATTTGTGTAACAACTCCACAAAGCCGTCCATCTATGTACTTCGTACATAATAGCCACAAGGGAAAAAAAAAGACAAAAACAAGATAAGGTGGAAAATCCCATGCGACCTGCCAGAAGAAATGAAGCATGGAGCATGGAGCTTTGTAGAGAAGAGAGGCTGTCACTTGACAGGTATACAAGATACAAATGTGGACACAACAAGAAAGCTCTAAAGAATTGATACATAGGCGATAAAACCGGGATTTAAAAACAATAATAGAACTCAAATACATAGGGCCAAGCATATGCAAGTGAACAAGAATCACACATTTCTTTAAATGGCCAAGAGACGATCAGACATCCCGGGCAATGCATAAGCAAACTAGACTGTCCACAGCGATGCACCACCCTCTATCGACCATGTATAAGAGCTCAGACAGACAAACGTACTCATAATCTTGTGACACACTGTCCAAAATGGTAACAGAGTCAACGCCGAATAAGCAGAAAACGCCGGCAAAGGCAAGAAGAAAAGAAGGTTGAAAAAAAAAGATACCTCGACTAAGTACAACTCAACAAAGGGTATAGGAAGGCTGGCCCAGATTAACATTAACCGAACATTCTTCACCATTGGATGCGGTAAAGAATGCAGCAGAACACTGGAACATCGGAAAAAGGAGAATATTTGAGGTATGAATGAAAGCATGTGGTGGAAGTGAAAAAAAATCACGCCTCAAATAATGGTGTAAAAGCTGTAAAATAAGAACGCCAATCTAGATAACGCCGGCCGCCATGAGCTAGTACGACCACCCACCTCCTAAGGGGCTGCCAGACTGACCCGGCTGAGGTTGTCCGGGTTGTTGCATCTGGCCACCAGGTCCGGTAGGCCATCCAGGCATCCCATTACCTGCCATGTTCATTGGAAGACCCGCCTGTTGAGGGGTTCCGCCCATGAAGGGCTGGCCACCATGGGCCTGGTTGGGTGGATACATAGCACGAGCCATGCCCGGATAACCAGCCGGGTTAGCACCCGGATATCCCATGCCCTGCATACCTTGAGCCTGTGGCGCTTGAGGGTGTTGCATCTGAGAATATTGCTGAGGCATCTGAGGTATTGACTGTCGCTGTTGGTTGCGAGGAGACTGATGGTGATGCTGCTGTTGCTGCTGCTGGGGATGATGCCCGAGTGGAGATGGGCTTTGTTGCGGTGCTCCTGACATTTGTTGACCATACTGAGGCATTCCAACGTTCTGGTGGCCCGACGATGGCAGCGGGGACGGTTGTGGCTGTGGGGGAGGCTGTCCCCAGATTTGCTGTTGTTGCGGTGAATATCCGTATGGAGGAGCTTGACCCATACCGCCACCCATGGATGGGTTAGAGCGCTGTTGCATAAGGTTGGGCTGCATGTTTGGTGGGATTCTTAGTGGAGACTGTCCAACAGACTGTGGGTGAGCCTGTTGGGGGTAGTTTGGCTGTCCACCCATCATTGGATTAGGCTGCATGGGAACCTGCTGAGGGAGCATATGCTGCGTATGAGCGGGATTTGGCATCCCCGCCGAAGGCATCTGTGATACCTGAACAGGCTGTGATACAGACAAACCCGTGTCAAGGCCAGTATTAGACTGCGCCTCTGAGACCGGGGCATCGCGGGGCTTGGAGTAAAATTCATCCAAGCCTTTTTGGCGGAAACTGCGCTGAATACTCAACATTTTGTTGAAATCAGTTGTGTGTTGGGCTTGGTTGATGAGATCTGCCGCTGAGCTAGTTTGTGTGCGGTCGTGGTAAGGTTGCCCGGTCATTTCCTGACGTGCACGAGGTATGACATTGTAATCCCGCAGCCGCGGGTCATCCGTCGTTGACATATGAATCATGGGGAGCGGGGCTAGGGACATAGAAGATTCGGAAGTATCCAGGGAGAGTCCAGGAGGCAAAGGCTCGATGGCATTACTGTAGACAACATCATTATGAGGCAGCGCCGGCAACAGGTTTGTGGCTGGCTCTGATACGGAACCATCCCGAGCCTTAGCCGCCCCAGGGCGTTTCTCACCAGCAAGGTCATCCTCCGTGAAGCCCTGCTTCCTAGCCTTGGTCTCCCAGTAGTCATCTCGAACCCGACGGCCATTCACAATCACCCGGCTCCCGAACTGTCGGAACATGGATCTAGCGGAGACGATGGCGATTTGGCGGGACCGATAGGAATATGGCAGGATGTCTTGCTGGATAAGATCGTCTTTCTCGATTTGGGAAGCAATGATTTTATGCAACGATCTGTTCTTGTTGAACAAAAGATACGAATCACGATAATTCAATACTCTTGCGCATTCAGTCGCAAGCATGAATAGCTTGTTCCCCCGGAGAGGGACGCGGAATGTCCGGCATTTATACTCGCGGCCACCCTGCGGATAACCCATA